TGTGTGTGTGTGTGTGTGTGTGTATGTGTGTGTGCGAGATTAAAGTTCTATTACTGATTGCAGGAAAGACTAAACACTTTGCGAATGCGTTTACCGAGTTTGACGATGACATATCCCCGTCATTTTCCAACATTGCGCTGGCATTCTATAGCGGATTATGGGCTTACTCCGGTTGGGATGTAGTAAATAACGTGACCGAGGAGCTTAAGGGTTCTAGGTATATTTCCTCCATGGATCATAACACACGCAAGTGACATCATCATCTAAATGGGCACACGATTTCTTACAAATATACACCATAGAAAATTCGTGACGTAGTCAATTTAAGGTATGCCAGTAAGTATTGGATTTTTTTACTCAGTGATAACTTTATGGGAATATAATTCTCATCAGGAGTCATCGTATACGTCTGAATATATTGAATAGTAGTTTAGAATAATATATTAGTTTAGTTATCTTAGTATACCTTGATTTGATATTATAATATATTTATATATATATATATATAGCAAGACACTCGGCGTTGCCCGGGAAATAAAGGCTCGGTGGCGACACTTTGGTTGAAAGAAATATACCAAAATATATTTATCTATCTATCTATCATCTATACTATCTATCTATATATTTTTCTAATCTATTATCTATGTTATTTATCTAATATTATCTTATAGTATCAATAATATGTATTAGAATATCTAACAGTCAGTTGTATATATATATATATATATAACAGTTAGTGTTAATATAGTTAATACGTTAGTATATATATATATATATATATATATATACACTAGTTAGTCTAGGTTAATTCTTTATTACAGAGACCTCGTGCGTTCTATCTTCATATCTGTTCCGCTGGTAACGGTGCTCTACATTCTGACAAATATCTCCTATTTTACAATCATGTCACCGCAACAGCTATTGCAATCACAAGCTGTAGCCGTGGTATGTTGTAGGTTTAGATATTGAAACTACAGAATATATATATATTAGAGAAAAGCACGTGTTCACCAATAGATTCATAACATTAAATGTCGTGAATTCTCGTATCAAGTTTGGCGAAAATGGTCAAAGGCAAATACTCATTACAATAAATATGTTAATCTGTTGACAGATTTATTACGAAACATCAATAGTTAAATCATGTTATGCAGGCAAACTTTCTTGGTTTCACTCTGACACATTTCTTCCATGATCAGTTTCCGATGTTATCGCGATGTACACTCGGCCTTAGAACAAATAGACGTGCTCACGATTATAGCTACACAAATAGACGAATTCACGCGCCAAAAAGTTCGTATGAATTCCAGAATAATTTCACTAATAGCCAACCCCCGCCACCGCACGAAAAGAAACCCACCACCCCACTCACTCACGCCACGTTTATTTCACAGACGTGGGGCGGATTCGATGCTGGTGTGATGGCGTGGTCATCCGGTGTTCGTCGCTATATCCGTGTTCGATCAAGCGGAACGGCAAGGAGTTTCGGCGGCGTCGCGCATACTCCATGCGTCGCGCCGAGAGAAGACACGATGCCGCGCGTGCGTCGTACGTCAGCACGAAGCGCTACACACCAAGCCCTGCGATCATACTACTGAGTTACGTACACAGACTAACAATATCGTATCTATCTCGCTAGCTTGCTATTTATCTATCTATGCTATCTATTATCTATCATCTATGCTATTGCATGCTATCATCTACTATCTATCTATCTATCTAATCTTCTGTCTGTCTGATCTTCTGTCTGTCTGTCTGTCTTCCGTCTTCTGTCGTCTGACCTTGCTGTCTGTCTATCTATCTATCCCACTACCATCTACTATTCTATCATTCCATTTATCTATCTATGCTATCTATAATATCTATCATCTATCTATCTATCTATCTACTATCTATCTATCTATCTATTATCTATGCTAATCATCTATCTATCTAATCTATCTATCTATCTCTACTATCTCCTACGTTATTCTATCTATCTATCTGTCTATCTACTCGGTCTATCTAATCTATCTATTTATTAATCTATCTATCTATCATATCTAGTCTATTATCTATTTATTTATCTATCTAGTCTACTATCTATCATTATCCTATCTATGCCACCATCCATACCACATGCTTCATCTGCATCATCCATTCATCCATCCATCCATCCATCCATCCCATCCATACCATCCACCATGCATCCATTTATCGCATCCATCCATCCATCATCATCCATCCATTCGCGCATCATTCCATCCATCGCATGCCATCGGCATTCATCATCCGAGCCACCATCATCCATCATCCATACATCCATTCATCCGAGCCATACCATCCATCCATCCATCCATACCGTCTCTCATCATCTATCTATCTTAGCTATCTTCTATCTATCTATCTATCTATCTATCATAATATCTATCTATCTATCTATCTATCTATCTATCTATCTACTCTTCTAATCTATCTATCTAGTCTATCTATCTATACTATTTAAATTATTAAATCTATTTAATACTAATCTATCATCTATACTATATATACTATATATAGTCTGTCTGTCTGTGCTGTCTGTCTGTCTGTCTGTACTGTCCTGTCTCATCAATCTATCTATCTATCTATCTATCTATCTATCTATCTATCTATCTATCTATCTATCTATCTATCTATCTATCTATCTATCTATCTATCTATCTATCTATCTATCTATCTATCTATCTATCTATCTATCTATATTCATTATATCTCTCTCTCTCTCTCTCTCTCTCTCTCTCTCTCTCGGAGAGAGGCATCGGCTCTCGGTCAGCGATGCAGCTAATTCGAAATACGACGTTCTATTTGGAATGTCGTCGTGGCCTTCTGACGTAGGGTTCCATCTCTGCGGAAAATTGCATCTCTCTGTCATTCTATATCTTGCCCTGTATTTCTCTCTGGATCTTTCTCTGTTTCTGACGTTGGCTACCTATCTATCGTTCTCTCTTTTTTGTCGCCCTTCTTTTCTTTCATTCTTTCGTACTTTCCTTTCTGTCTCTCGCTCTCCTTTCTTTTTGTCTCTGTACACACACACACACACACACACACACACACACACACACACACACACACACACACACACACACACA